CTCCGGGGCTAAGGGAATTTGGTGGTACCCCTGAGATGCGTCCATCATGCTCAACAACTCGCAGCCAGCTGTGGAGTCGACTAGCTGATCGATTCTAGGCAAAGGATAGTGATCTTTTGGGCACGCCAGGTTTAAGTCGCGAAACTCGATGCATATACACTATTTGTTCAGTGCTTTCCTCACCATCACTGTGTTAGATATCCATTCGGGGAATTGGATTTCCTTGATGTGTTTGGCTTTTAGCAGTTTGTCCACCTCGACTTCAATTGCTTTGTCAATTTCAGCGCCATGGTGCCTGAGTCACTGCTTCACGGCTTTTAGCAGTTTGTGCTCCATAACATCCGGGTCGATTTCAGTTAACTCTTCAGGAGAGAAGGCGAATATGTCCTGAATTCCTTTAGCAATCCCACTAACTGTTCTCGCAACTCGTCCTCCAATTCTCTCCCGACTTTGGTGGTCTGGTTCTCCGTTTCACCGATTTGAATTTCCATCAACTCTCCATGGGGCTCTAGGTCACTCCCTCTCGGCCTCTTCTCACCCGAGATTGGCTTTTTACCCTCCTTGACCTCAGCTCGTGGTTGGTTTTGACCGCGATCTGGTAGCATGTTCGTGATAACTTCTGGTCCCCTCGAGCCTCTCCTACTCGATCTCCAACGGGAAACTTCAATTTCATGTGATAAGTCGACACCACTGCTTTAAAGGCATTGAGCGCCAGCCTCCCAAGGATCACGTTATAGGCCGATTCGACGTCGACTACCACAAATTTCACCATCTTTACCTTCCTCAGGTCGCCCTCCCCTAGGACGACAGCGAGCGTGGTTTCCCCTAGTGGAGCGACTTCCGATCCATTGAATCCAAAGAGTGATGTATGTAGAGGCGTAAGTTCAATGTCGAGTTCCATCCTTCTGAGGCATTCATAGAAAATCACGTTTACAGAACTTCCGGTGTCGACAAACACCCTTTGAACCTCGTATCTTGATATCTGTGCGGTTATCATCAGGGCATCATTGTGTGGTCTCTCGACTTCCCCCACGTCCGCGGGTCCAAAGTTCATTACTGGCCCACTCTCGTCGACCTGCTGCACTTCGACTTTCATGTATCGGCCTCGAGCGTACGCCTTCCTTGCTCGATTGGAATTCCGTCTGTCGACGCTCAAAAAATCATGTTAATTACCCCCCTCTTTGGTGGAAGCTCCTCCTTTTCTGGTGATCTCGCCCTCTTGCGAGGACTTTTACTTCTTTCTCGCCTCCTGCTTGACCTCTCGCGATCTTTGTATATGAACTCCTTCAAGTGGCCTGCCTTTATCAACCTCTCAATCTCGTCTTTCAGGTGTCGGCAATCGTCAGTGTTGTGCCCGTAATCTTTGTGGAATCGACAATATAAGTTGCTTTTGGGCTTCATCGGTCCATCCTTCCTTGTCCGCGGCCATCTCACCACGTCGTCGCGGATCTCCCTTTCCATTACCTCCAGAATTCTTGCGTGGGGAGCTGACAGGGGTGTGTATTGAGTCAGCCTCCATCCTCTAAATCGTCCTTCACCCCTATCGGTTCGCGGTGATCCTCTTCTTTCTCCTGTCGACTGGCTCTTCTTCTCCTTTTTGTCGTCTCGACCATCAGTTTGGGACATTTTCATGCTTTGCAAGTAGTCGGCCTCTGCTTCTTCGACATTCATATACTTGGCACACCTCCCCAAAACGTCATCGAAACTCCTACCAGGTCGCTTGGCCAATGAGTTCTTACATAACCCTGGTAGGAGTCCTCTCGTCAGTCCTCCTGATTTGATTTCCTCTGTTGCCGTTGGGCACTCGACACACGCCTTTGTAAACCTCGCCACATACTCTCGCAATGACTCGCCCTTCTTCTGCTGCATGCTAATCAACGAGAGGTAAGACTTTTCTTACACCCTTACGCTTGCAAATTGGTTAAGAAAGCTCGAGCTGAAGCCATCGAAATCCTTATTCGACCCGGCGGATAACTGGTGAAACCAGTCCTGGGCCGACCCTGTCAGAGTCGTCAAGAAAGCGCGACATTGCACTGGGTCGCTGTAGCGGTGGAGCACTGCCATATTTTCGAAACTCCTCAGATGTCGAGACGGGTCAGTGGAGCCAGCATACCATATGTTCAATTCCCTGAAGCCTTTCGGTAAGTCGGTTCTCAGGATCTGCAGCGAGAATGGATGTTCTATTTCTCCTCTGTTCTTCCTCCCCCCGACTCAAGCCTGCAAGTCGCGGACCTGGGCCAGCAACTGTTCCAAGTCTCGTCCCTCGCTTGCGGATTGATAGTTTGAATGGAGGATTTCTCCTCGTCCACCCTTCTGTTCTGCTGTACGTTTGCCTGAGCTTGTTGTTCGACACGAGGTTGTTGCTCGCCCCGAGGCGGGTACTCGACACGAGGCTGCTGCTCGACCTGCACCACCTGCTTCATCTGGGCGGCCACGGCTTCAGCGATCATCTTTTGCATTTCACTCCTCGTCACTGTCAAGGTCTGCTCCTCGACGCGGGGTTGTGTCTGCTCTGGTACCTCCTGTATCTGCTTTCCCTCGCGTCGAGACATCTCTGTTGGTTCCTTCTCTCCATCTGGGTTAGGGTTTTGACTTGTTCCTGCCTGGGTCAGCACTTGCACCTTCACTCCAGTCGGAGTGATGGGAGTTTCTGCGCCCAACGTCAGTCCTGGCTGTGGAGGTCCTCCAAATGGTGGCATCCCCATCATCTGCATCATTGGGTGTTTGGGGGTGGAAAGTGGTGGTGGCCTCTTGTCCATCCACGTTCCCCTGAATTCCTCGTTCAGATTCCTCTGCAAACCTTCCTTCTCCGCCATCAGCAAACAGATCGGAGCTGGGTGTGAAGCTCTTACTTCCTTCAAGAACTCCCCACAGACGGCGCCAATATGATGGGTCTACTTCCAGATCTAGAGTAAGCCGGTGGATTTGAGCTCAGATCAGCTTGAACCGCTTCTGAATCATTGCTAGACCGCGAGATACCTGCAAAAACTCAACGCCGGAGGTGTTTCCGGCGTAGAGCCTCCGACTCTCAAGTCAGTATGAGAGAGATGTAGTGAGGCTGCGCAACAGTTATGGGGGAGTGTGGAGGATGAATGAAAGTTAGGGTTTGGGGTTACCTCACCTCCTTTATATAAGAGTGAATACTTACTTGAAGTACCCAGAATGCCCAAGTCGGTGGACCTAAAAGGTCCAAAATGCCCCGGTCGGTTTGTCTCCCCCTGCTGCTGAGTCATCACAAGATTCCTTCTTATCCTTTGGAATATATAGAGCTTTAAGTATGTTGCAAGTGTGATGAGTCGTCATCACATCTTTGATCTTCGAGATGTACAGAGTCGACCTCGAGAGCTAGGAGGTCGACTTGTGATCATATGACGATTCGGAGGCTACGCTTGGTTAGTTCCCTCGAGTGGAAATCGTCTTCAGAAAATCGTCTTAGTGAAGTCGACTACTGGGAGTCGACTTAGAGTATCTGGATGCTCAGGAGCTATGCTCTAGATGCTCAGGAGCTATGCTCTTGTTGTCCTTCTTATACAGATGTCGACTAATGGAAGTCGACAGACTGAGGTAGACTTGTGGGAGTCGACTGGACATATTTCTACCCCTTCTCGGTCACTCTTTGTAGAGTCGACTTGATGGAAGTCGATTTCTGTATGTCGACAGGAACATATCGTCCTGCAAACGATCTGCGTGGTTACCCGGTCGAGTTAGGGGCTTTAGAACCGGTATATAATAATATGGCTATATCAGATGCAGTTGTCAAAAGAATTTGACATGAAGGACTTAGGCCCAGCAAAGAAGATTCTTAGAATGCAAATCACGAGAGATAAGCAAAAAGGAGTTTTGCAGTTATCTCAGGCGGAGTACATCAACCGTATTTTGCAGAGATTTAACATGGACAAGGCTAAGCCAGTCAGTACACCTTTGGCTAGCCATTTTCGTCTATCCAATGATCAGTCTCCTCAAACAAAAGAAGAAGAAGAGTTCATGGCTAAGATTCCTTATGCTTCAGCCATTGGAAGTTTGATGTACGCGATGGTCTGTACGAGGCCAGACATTGGTCATACAGTGGGAGTTGTGAGCAGGTTTATGTCAAAACCAGGAAAAGCTCATTGGGAAGCAGTCAAATAGATTTTGAGATATCTACGTGGTACAACAGAAAAATGTTTGTACTTTAGAAAAGGAGATCTAAAGTTATAGGGCTACGTAGATGCAGACTTTGGAGGTGAAGTTGATCACTGAAAAAGCACCACCGGTCATATTTTCACTGTCGGAGCTACAACTGTTAGTTAGATGTCGCGGATACAACAGATTGTTGTTTTATCCACTACAGAGGCTGAGTATGTAGCAGTGACAGAAGCCAGTAAAGAACTGATATGGCTTCAAGGATTGTTAGCAGAGTTGGGTTTCACTCAAAAAGAGAGTGTCTTGCACAGTGATAGTCAGAGTACAATACATCTGACAAAGAACTCAGTGTTTCACTCCAGAACTAAGCACATTGATATACGATATCATTTCATCAGATCTCTTCTTGAGGATGAAATGTTGACCTTGAAGAAGATTGTAGGAAGCAAGAACCCAGCAGATATGCTAACAAAGGTGGTGACCATTGACAAACTGAAGTTGTGCTCAACTTCAGTTGGTCTGCTAGAGTAACAAGACCGGAAAAGACTACTGCAGTAATTGAGGTGTGATGACAGATTGAAATCAACCCTCAAGTGGGAGATTGTTAATTCAGCCGCCACTTTTGACAAAGAAATGGCAGCCTTTTGTTGAAAAATGCAACCAAAATGTGTGAAGGCATTAATATTTTGGCTGCTGAAGGTGTGAAGGCATGCTGAACATGTGAAGGCATGTTGAACGTGAGTAACTTCTGTGGACAAATGAGTTCATTCCTCTGCTATAAATAGATGAACAAATGTGCAGAGAAAGATACAACAAAAAACACAGAAAGAAAGAGAAAAAAAAAGAGGGAGCAAGAAGCCAAAGTTTTAGCTTCTGTGTATATTTGTGTTGTGAGTTGTGAGTGAGTTTGAGAGTGTTTTGTAAATACGAGTGTATTTCTTTTTCTCAATAAAATATCTACAGTATTTACTTCACTTTTATAAATCCAACTTCGTGAAAAATTCAGCGTATATTTCCCAACATCCGGATAAAACCAAATAGAACTAAATTGCGTTTAGTGGAACGTTGCCCACCAGGCTTCAACTAATCCACACAAACTTGAGCAGAACTGAAAACAACCGCCGATGTCGACCAAGATGCTAGCCTCACTCACCCACTCCCGGCCGCTAGCCTGCGCCGCCGCGTCGGCCTGCCTCTATCCTACGCGTCTGGTGCCTCATCCTCCGGACCTCATCAAATGGGTCAGGAGAGAAGGCGGGTTTGTTCACCACTCCGTAAAGATTGCTTATTTGAAGGACGCAAAACCCAACGGGCTCGGGCTAGGGTTAGGGCTTGTGGCCTCCGAGGATATTCCCAAAGGTTCTGACCTCATTTCACTCCCCCACCATATTCCTCTTAGATTTGATGGAGAATCCTCGACCTTGATTGAATTAGCTCAGCATGTACCAGGTAAATTGTCCGAATTCGGTATGCTTTTGTTCTATTCTTTGTGTAATGTTGTTTGACATTTTCGGTAATTTATAAAGATTGTCTTTTTGGGTGTAATTTGATTTATGCCACTGCTTTGCGTAGGAAATAGTTACCTTAAGGTCTACTATGAAAGTGCAAATTTGGTAGTTATACGCTGTATTATTGTTGTTGTTGTTGAGCTGAATTAGAATTGACTAGAGTGAGTTAAGCTGTTCAAGTTTTGAACTTCTCTGAGCTCTTACCCTGAAAACTCGAGCATTGGTTAAAACGAAAACTGAGTTCTAACTACAAACCGAAGTGATTTTAGAGTTGAAACGGAAAAATGTAGCAACTGATAGAACACATTGCTGCATAAGCTACATTTTGATTCGATGACCATAAGCCTATGAAAAAAACAGTGTCAATTCTGTTCAGTATATATCAACTAAAATTGGTGACCAAGAATATGAAAAGTTCCACAGTTGCATTTTTAATGGAGGTTGGGTCTTTGTGAGTGTATCTTCAGCAGCTGTGTGTCTTCTAAGGTGGGATATAAAAGACTTGATTGGTAGTTGTTATATGAACAAGGTACATCTTCTTTTACAACACAATCCATGGGAATTTCAAAGTTTAGCATGTTTGCTTTGGAGTAATTATGAGATGGGTAACCTCAAGGGAAGTTTCTTAGGGATCGCGTGAGTGCGAGTGCCAAAAAGCACGCCAAATAGACCAACAGTTCAGACAAATTTTCTGTAAAGGCAGATAGTCTTCTGTTGTGGAGCCATATTTTTACATGGCCCACCAAATTTAAAATTGGAGTGGCAGAGATGAGTATAAAATAAAAAATAGGGCTTCATAAAAGAGAACTATCAGGTTTTTTTGGCATATATATTCGTGTGTATGTATATGTGATTTGTTATTCATGTATTGTGACTTGATATGTTGATATGTAAGTATTCAGATACATATTTATATGTTGCGTGTGTCTGTGTCTGCGTGGTCCAAGAACACATCAAGGAACTTCTTCATTTTTTTAATATGAATTAGAACTTATCTGGAAATTGAATAGCAATTACCTGCGAGAACGAGTTGAATGTTGCATGAACATCTAACGAGCATAACGCACTCATCAGCGTGTGCTGGCTGCTGACGGTTAAGGGTTAGAAAATGAAATGGATTTTTCTGTAAAACATTTTCGATTTGTGGATTAGTATTCATGGAGTATGACACATTGGATAAATTCAGTTTGGTGGCATTAGTGAGATATGAAGGTTCTGAAAAGCTCTATGCCAAGTTGAAGTAAATAAAAAGATCAATGACTAGAGATGGATCTCCATTGTTAGCTAAGTACCAAAAACAATCCCTGAGATCTAGACCAATTACATAAGAGTCCATTTATTACTTAAATTACATGGAAGCCATTGAGTTTTGTATTTACTTTACACGTAGCCCTCTTGACACTTCTTGAGGGTTCACTTGTTTTTTATGAGAAAAATTAAGTAGTTGCATATTTTTGTTATTTTAAACACAAACACACACACACACATAAAATATATATAGACACAAATAAGTAATTCCCTCATAGGTTGTGTAAATCATCCCTTCTGTTTTATTTCCATATGTTCTGTGCACTTAATGCCATAATTCTATTCCTTAAATACTAGGATATTGAATTTTGTATAAAGGAGTAAATTGGACATTTGGAGCATTTGACAGAGGAACTCTGGGCCATGAAATTGGGTTTAAAGCTTCTACAAGAAAGAGCAAAAAGTGGTTCCTTCTGGTGGCCATACATCAGCAATCTTCCTGAAACTTTTACTGTACCCATTTTCTTTCCGGGAGAGGATATCAAGAATTTACAGTATGCTCCCCTTCTTCATCAGGTACTTTGTGTTTTAATGAAGTTTTCTCTTTGTTTAGAAGCTGCCATACTTTTTAAAAATGCCCACTCTTGACTTGAATGCTATAAAATACTCAAAGCTTTGTGACTGCTATTATGAATCTAAAATATATTAAGAATTTATGTTTTTTTTTTTTAATTATTTATTTTTCTTCTAAAAGGACCCAACGTGTCAATAGTTGATTAGAAGATGTTCATTTATTTTTCATATTTTCGTCAAGGTAAACAAGAGATGCCGTTTTCTTCTTGAATTTGATAAATTGATGAAAAGGGAACTGGAAAATGTAAAACTGGATGACCACCCTTTTGGAGGACAAGATATTGATGCGTCAGCACTCGGGTGGGCAATGTCTGCTGTTTCATCAAGAGCATTTCGTTTATACGGCAGCAAACATGCAGATGGGACCCCCGTTGATGTCCCCATGTTGCTTCCCCTAATAGATATGTGCAACCACAGTTTCATGTCCAATGCTGAAATCGTACAAGAAAAAGAAGCAAACAGTGAGGACATGATTGTGAAGGTCTGTTTATCTGTTGATTCTTCCCTAGAATCTATGTATATATAATTGCTGTCAAGCTTCAATAAATTTTATTCAGCCAGCAATTAATAATAATATGAGTTCAATTAATAAAAATATGTTCACCATTTATTAATAATATGTAACTTCCATATAACAATAGTGTTTAATTTTAGTTTTTGTTTCCAGGTCATTGCTGCTACACAAATTAAACAAAATGATCCTTTAGAACTCAATTATGGTTGCCTAAATAATGATCTTTTTCTGCTGGATTATGGATTTGTGGTCCCCACAAATCCATACGACTGCATCGAACTCAAATACGACCCGGCTCTTTTAGATGCTGCCAGCATGGCTGCGGGGGTTTCGGCCCCCAACTTCTCGGAGCCATCACCATGGCAGCAGCGAGTTCTGTACCAGTTGAATTTAGACGGTGAAAATTCTAATCTCAAGGTAAAATAATATATATGATCTCCGTCTTTAATTTCTTTTGTATGACATTGTAAGCTATAAAAGGAAAACAATGGTTATGAGTCCTTTATGCGCGAGACACCTCTAGAGCATTCGCTTTCCCTTTTAAATGCACCAAGTTCTTGCTGACAAGATTAATATATACTACCTCCTTTTTTTTAAATGTCATTTTGGCTTTATCAACAATTAACCAAATAAATGACGTTTTGGATCTTTTGTACATATTTTTTCATTATTACCCTCATCTAGCTAATAAATACACTACATCTTTTCATATTCACTCTTCATCTTTTTTCTCAAAACACCCATCTCTATTCCTTAATGAAGGCTATTATTGGCGAAAAAAAAAGATTCTTAATTACTTATTGTGCTAACTTCTCAAAATGACACTTGTTAAAAAAAAGGAGGGAGTATAATTTAAAAAAATAATATATATATTAAATTTTTTCCATAAAAAGGTGAGAGTCGGAGGATCAGAGGTGGTGGAAGGCCGCCTGCTTGCCGCCCTAAGAGTCCTCCTATCAAGTGACAAAGAAGCTGTCGAAAAGCAGGATTTGGATACTTTAAAGTCAATAAAATCGGAGGCTCCACTTGGGGTTTCAACTGAGGCTGCTGCTTTTCGCACGATTATCGCCCTTTGCATGATTGCACTTGGCCACTTTCCGACAAAATTAATGGAAGATGAATCAGTTTTGGAGAAGAAAGTCCCAAACACGACTCAACTGGCCGTAAAATACAGGATTCAGAAGAAGTCGGTCATTATTGAGGCCATGCAGGATATTACAAGGAGATTGAAGCCGCTTTTGTCGACTAAGTAGGTAAATGATTTTCTGATGGATGAGGATTTTGGTGTTCGAGTGTTTTGCCTTTTGGTTCGGCTTAAGAAGATCTTTGGTTCAAAACTTATTGTTTTCATCATGTGATGGGTCGTTTGGATTTGTCCATTTGGTTGAACATTCAAAGAATGTCGGATTCTTTCAAAAACCAAATCGAAAGCACTTCAAATTGAAAAAAAAAAAAATATGAATAAATAAAATTGTTGACTGATTGATTTTTGCCTAACCGAACAGAAAAATAACGGTGCAGGTCTAAAGATTTCATGAATACCTTTCCGAGAATTTTGTACCAAAGTGTCTCACACGTACCAAGCCAAATTGAAATATATATGACTTTAAATGTATTCAGCCCTCTGATTCTCTGTAAATTTTATTCTTAGATTATTTGAATGATTTTCAAGTACTTCATAACAAATACTAATAACTAATTAACTTCACATATATTTAATATTCCTAATAGTTTTTAATTATATTACTTTCCATTTTATTTTTCTTATTTTTATTCCATTGAATTGCACGAAATAATAATTTATATTTTCTTATTTTTAATTTTAAAATAGAATCTTTAACAAAATTAATTATAATATTTTATAGAAATATGTAACCAAAAATAGAAAAGTACTCAATTATGATATACATAACATATGTAGAAACCCAAAGCAGATAACAACCTAAACTCTAAACAACTAGAAAGTGTTTGTTTGATAAACCACACACACAATAAACCTATTTTAGTCATGTACAAGAGCATGTGACTGTATAACACATAACTAGCTAGTTGCATATGAGTGAATAGACTTTTCTGTTAAACCTAACGGCGATCTGGACCGCCCATGTTGGCGGCTAATCTCCACCGCAGGTCTTGTCTCCAGCCGGTTGATTTTCTCCAACTCTTGTTTTATTTTTCTAAGTTGGCTATGAATTCCCACCCCTTTGTACGCCTCCTCTAATCCCTTTTCATTTTTGTTGATGATTTTTCTCTGGCTCATGCTAGGCATAGCTTCAGAAATATTTATTCGCCTGTACCACAANTGGGAGTTTTAAAAATGACGTGTAATTTGGTGAGGTAGCAATAACTACTCAGAGGGGTAAGTAAACAATAAGTTGTCACAATTAGGATGGATTGAGAGTATTTTTAAATATATTGTCCATACATATTGTAAAATTAATTTTCTATAAATACCCTTTTACTTGATCAAAATCAGCAAAAAATTGTTCCATGATTGGTCTGAAAGAGTTGCGTGTGTTTGCCCAAGGCAAAGATGTTTTGGGGACCATATCAGTTGGGACCAAAAAGATCTTTCTGAAATTCATAAAAAAATAAAATAAAATTGAAAGTCGGTCATGTGGTATGTGCTGATTGGGTAGAGGAGTTATTGCGCAATTTGAAAACAATCTTAGATTTTGAATTTTACATAATTTAATTTCTTGGGCAGGTATGGTCTAGTTTAAAATTTGTGTTTAATATGCACTTCCGCATACGAAAATTAACTCGACTTGTTCGAGCGTATACTGAGCAAAAACTACATATGTGAGATTATGAGTTATGGATGGTAGCTTTTATACAAGTGAAAATTATTCATTAAGCAAAAGTCAAAAACACAAGATAAAATATATTGTTCCAAAACAAAATCTAAAATTGTAAATTTGTAATAAATGTTAGAAGCAAACATGGAGTGCAGGGACAAAGACTATACTGGAGCCTTTTGTCTATGTGAAATACATTTGTTTTTTTGAAAAGACTGTATAACAGATTACGCGTTCTCTAAATTTAAAAGAAAATGAGAAATGATAGAGAGAGGTCTTTAACATATATTCACACACATATGGGTGAACATGAGTCGTTATGGTTCAGAGATTGACAAACTTTCGGAATCGTACCGAAATTCGAAAATCACTAAAATTCGATATGTGGAACCGTACCACAAAATAGGTTCGGTTCAGTTCGGTTCGCTTCAAAGATTTTTATTTTTCGGTTTGGTTCGTGATTCAGGACTACTGGAACGGTTCGGTTCGGTATGGTTCAATTCGGATATTCGGATATTTCTACTTAGGTTTTAAATTTTTTGTGAATGACCACCTGGTTATATATTAATTTTTATATATTTTTTTAATACAATATTCATCATACTAAAGATTTTATTTTTAAATAAACTTTATAAATAACTTTAAATTTTAGTTAAGACTAAATTTGTGCAACTGACATTGAAAAATAAATTCAAACAAAATATAATATAGTTTTTTATTATAAGTAATATTTCTTTAACCTTCCATACCATGTTAGTTATCAGATAGAAAAAGACTAGGTATCCACAAATTTAATTAAAGTTTAAGTATTTTTTTACAAGAACACTTCTTTAACCTTTCATACCATTTTAAATATATTTTTTTTTTAAACAGAAAATATTCAATTGTAGATCAAGTATTACTAAGCATGAAATTTAAGTGAAGCTTAATTGTTATTACTATATTTTGTGTGCATTTTAAAAATCATCAAATTATATAAGATCAAAATTGACATAAAATATATTATTAACACACATATATTTTGTAAGTCGGTTCTTCGGTTCGGTATGGTATGAGACGTTTCAGTTCGGTTCTGCGACTTGCATAACTGACTGGATGAACCTCTCTACTTATATTTTGTGGTCGTTGTGGAAGACGCATAACTGTTGGGTGTTCAGTAAGGTTTGGAAAACCGAGTTAGAGATAGCTCGAGGGGCTCGAAGGGAATGGCTGGAGTTTGAGCTGGTAAATCAGCCAGGCCTCTATCTTTCTTCCTTGTTTAAGTGCTATATGGTGCTTGCTGCTTTTGTTGTTGGTTTTCTAGGCTATCCATGTGGATATAAGTGCAGTTTTTCGGGCGCCTTTGTTGCTGCTGCTGTTTTGTCGGTCCTTGGCTTTTGGTTTGTGGTGGTCGCGGTGTTATTGGGGTTTGCTGTTTAGTTGTTTTTTAATTTTTTTTACCTTTTAGGCTTTCTTTTTGGGTTTCTTGTTCCTTTGATTTTCAGTTTTCTATTTTCCTTTTTAGGTGTGTGTTTGGGGTTGTTTTCCCCCCTTCTTACTTGCTTATGCCGTCTCATACACAAGGGTGGTTTGTTGTTTTGTTTGTTTGACCCGTACCTTGTAAATTTCTGAGTTGTTCTTATTGCATTTATCATTT